CACTTTGCTTGGTAGTGGGAGCACAGACTAAAGATCAGCCCACCTCATGCCACGTGTTCAGCTTGCAGCCATAGCAGCACAGGCTCTGCAGCTCACAGCAGGGGGAATGCACCTCATCCCGGCTTGCACGAGCTCCTTGCAAACTGGGCTGAGAGATGCTCACTCCTCCTGATCATCACCAGATGCCCAGTGGCCTGCTTGCCTGTTGGCAATCCTTGCTCCTGCCCACTGCCTACCACCACTGAGAAACAGCAGCAGGGAGTGGGGAGCCTCGGTGTGCCCGCAGGACCCCGGGGATATCCGTGGAAGGAGGAGGAAGCACCAAACCCCTGATGCGTCTGACGGTTGACTCATCAGGTATATCAGGACAGCTTGCAAGCCACACTGCACAGCTTTCTACGCAGTGTGGTGCATCCTGTCATGCAAGCCTCCCAACAGGTTGTTGTATTGTGTGAACCCAGTGGCAGCTTATCATCAGGCAGCGAGCAGGGTTTAGAGGTCCTGTTGCATGTGGCACCAACAAGAGAGTTAAGATTGCTGGGTATGAAAGACAAAACTTTTTCTGTAGAAGCATCTCAAATGTAGAACTTCCTTCCAAACTACTTTTTGGGAAGAAGTTCTTTCTCTCTTAAAGTTTAGACAGGCAGTAAAAAGTCTATGTATTGTTTCACCAGACCTTTGGCTTTTAAATTTGTGTCTGGTTTGTTTTAAAGAGCATTCTGTTTTGTTGTTTTAGATTTTATTGGATTATATTGTGCATTGCTTTGAGGGCATTTGTGGGCAGAAAAGTGACACACAAATACTTAAATAAAATTAATCAATAATTATTTTCCTGCATCACATTATGTTTTGCTCATTATGAATGTAGATGGGATATGATGCTATAGCTGGACTAGCAGATTTACTACACACTAGAAACACTCACAGTCATTTTGAAACATAAACTACAACTACCCAGATGGGAAATACAAACCAATAGGACTGATATTCTTTTATTGGACCAATTTTGTATGATACAGAAGTACTGAAGCTATCAGAGAGGATGGAAAGGTAGCTAATTCTCTGACAGCTTGAAAGCAGAGATGCTAATGCAATCAGTTTTCACTTAGGAAAAACAAAAGCCCACTGATACCACTTATCTGTCCTACATTGCAATGGCATATTAGCCCCTCTCAGACTTCTGGGCAGTTCAGTTCATTCAGTGTCTGTGCACAGGGGATGTATAAAGGCTTCCAGATAGGGCAGCGTGTATCCATGCATAGGCACATTGCAAATGTGTTGTGGAATAAACAGCCTGCTGTCCCCCTATTAATCCATGATTGGGATGACTATTGACTGCCAGAAATCCTACAAACTACTGTAATGGAAAATCTCAGCAGCCTTACTAGCAAAGTCCTTAATCTGGTAATGCTGAATTGCACTGACCCAAGCACAAGAATTGTATACAGTTCTTACAACTGGACAATATAAAAAGCTGTCTTAGGCACATTCAAAGTTTTGGGCGTGCCAAGTAGGATTTTTTCCCCTTATAATACATTAGGGGCACATAATTTACACTGTACAAAGTGCTTTTGCAAGTGTCTGCATTTCAGAACTGACTTCCTATGGGGATGCAGGGGGTGGGAGCAGAAAGCGGGACTAGCAACTGCTGAAGTAACCCAAGCCCGAACACACCTGGGCTGTGCAGGACTAGTAGTCTGGTTCTTTTGGATCTCCAGCCTTTGCATTTAAACTATAAATAGTCCACACTTGTGCTGTGTTTTGTGCTGTGCAATTCCATACATGTCTACTCAGAGGTAAGGGCATACTTTCAGTTAAGTATGTATGCGATTACAGTCTTCTTTGAGAAAAACACCTTTATGTTATTCCCCAAAAGGCAGAATATTTATTAAAAGAGAACACCGTTTCTCTTCTGTTCCAAGACATGACTGACATCTTTAATTGGCTCCATTTTGCTCTACCATCCCTAAGACAAGAGTGCAACATTGAATGGCAGCCAACTCATTTATGCTTTCTGGTATTACGAAAGGCAGGAGGTGTTACCAGGTGCACCCGCATATTTTATGAGGTAAGCAAATGTAGTCAGAAATGTCTACTTCATTAATTAATGTTCACATGTGCACACCTTTTTCTCTGGGAAAAAATGGCACGTCCTATAGAAAATCTGGCTGGAGAGGAAAAAATAAAAGATATAAGCCTGTTGCATGTAAAGCATTTGCAGTAGGCATGTGCTTCAGAGCTTATCCACATTTTTTTGTAAGGCCTTTAACATATCCTAATAAGAAAATCACAGAGCGCAGTAAACAGCTGGGACAAATTGACCATTGTTGATTTGGTTGCTATTTGTGCATGCATTCATATTTGCAGAATTCACATTATGAGAAAGAAGCTAATGGTGGGCTTTAGAAAGCCCTTTCAGGCACCACAGGGATATTAGTGCTGTAGCCCTCACCAACCATCCTTAAGGAAAATTGGCTCCCCTGGGGAGCAGTCTAGCTGCCATGGCTAAGTCATGCTCCATGCTGTTATAATCTGCCTCAATGCACACCTAGCTACTTCAGATCCTGCCCAGAATGACTTGGTTGGTCCAGTTTGCTTTCCAGACTTGACTCTACTGCTTTGTTTTACCTAAATTTACATGCTTCCTTGTCAGAACTTGAGTTCTGTGAGTTACTTTGGAGCTACACCTGCAGGTCCATTGCCCATAATTACTGACCATGCCTGTGTGATGGAGGCTAACGTAAGGGAGGGGGAGACATTACCCACTTCAGGAAGGTTACTGCACTTTTCCCCACTACGTAGTCCCTAAAGGTGTTTTGTACTGCAGCTCCCAGGGTTCCTGACCACTTGCCTTGTCAGGTAAGGCTGATGGGAGCTGATATCGAAAACCTCTGTGAGCCACCATGCTAGACTACAAGTATGAGAAACTCCACCAAAAATCTGATCTGTATTGATATTTTCTATCAGTGGTTTCCTTTCAATATGAACTGTGGCATGGATGGTCGTTACAGGACTGTATCTGCAGTATATTTAGACAACAGCAGCTCCATAAGGTCCATTGATCAGCACACAGCTAAGAAAGAAAAGTTGATCCATCAAACACAAGCTTCAGAAAGAAAGTAAGAAAGCAGTGACCAGGTGCTGAAGGAATGGAAAGTCAATGCTGGGGTGGATTTAGTAAGAAGATTTGGTAAGAACTACAAGTCAGAGTCAGTGAAGAAAGCTAATACCTACATTAGCGGCCAAAAAGCTGAAATTAGATGACAATTCACTGAAGAAAAAGGTACATAAAGATATAAATAGTGTATTTAATTAAACATATTCAAAAGGATAATTTGGACTTCTCTGTGTACAAGTGAGAATCATGACCCCATTTGCCCTCTGCATCCATCCTGCCTCATCCTGTGCACTGCTCTGCACATAGGAATCCCCTTCCACTGGCCCTCTTCCCACTGACGATTCTGCTAAAAGCTGGAAGTATGCTTGCTGGACTATTTTGTATGCAAAGAGGTTCAACTGGATTAGGCCCATAATTCTGCGTATAGATTTCTTTAGTGCATGCTCCTTGTGTGTGGAAAAGGATTTTGTTTGTTTGAGAAGGGTTTTTTGCCAGAGATGTTTTGTTTTTCATCTTCTTTTAAAGCACGTATCCACGTCTTAGCTTAAGTAAAAGCAACATGGCCAAATCCTGGAGGTGAAGGGCTATCCCTGACCCTAGTAGGTACCTAAAGGTTTGACATTAACTCTGTCTTGGCACTCTAACTAACCTCTCTAGCTGTTCTTTCTAATCAGTAACTGACCATATAAACAAAAGCCATTGATCTGATGCTACTTGAAATTCAAGCAAACCATTCCAAGTAATTGCATTTAATTTCCCTCAAATCTTTGTTTCCCGCATCTATTTCACAGACCATAAAATCCATTAAAATAGTCTTCCTGCTCTTTTATGAAGTGTACTGCAATCACCAAGCCATAAGGTTTAGTTTTGCTTTGTTTTATGATACTTTTGCATTGGAATATTCTGGGCTGTCATCGCTCAAAAAGCACAAACTGTTAAGTACACAGCTATGAAGAATCTTATAGAAAAGTGGTATTTGTTTCCCTGTTGTTTTAATATTAACTCATTATTCTCAGCAACAGAACTGTCCACTGTGTCTGATAAATGGCTCATATAAAATCAGGAAACAGATAAAAGGGGAAAGCAAAAAGCTCTTAAAAGGATGAAGAGAAGCAAAATCTATCTTGTTTAGATGATCAGATGTGCTTCAGCCACAGAAACTCGCTGTAGTTAGAGCCACTGTTGTCCAGCAGAGGGGAACACTTGGACCACAGGGCTTCAGAGCTGAGATTTGACAGGGACTGATAGATTGATTGACAGACCAGGTAAGACTCTTTCCTACACTGGAGTCAGAGCACAAGTCCATGTAACTCTGCAACCTCTCCAGTGACTGACAATGGTTCTCCAGGGTTACAAACAGGAGTCTTTCCCAGCCCCAAATGGTGATAGCCGAGATCAAATCAGGAGCTTCCTGTATATTAAATATTGTATATTAATGCTACAATCCTTTTAGTTAACGAGAGCCATGGATGTGCCTTCTTCTTTGGTAAAGCAGAGAGGGGAAAGGGCAGAAAAAAGCCATACAACATCCAGCGAACTTGCTGCCTGGAGAATAGTGAAAGTTGTTAAACTTTTGTCAGTCTAAACATGAATATTTATTTATTTATTACTTTTATTTAAAGGCTGCCTATTAGCATCATTCTTTCTGGGTGGCAATTGAAATAAAATTGCCAACAGATAATATAAATAAAATAATACAATTAAAATGCAAAAGATGAAAGAACATATAAATAATCAACAGGAATAAAACTTAAGTTAAGAAATTCAAACCAGTGCAAACTGATGCAAAATAATCTAAATAGTGATAGATCTAAACACACCACCATCCCAGCAAACCTATCTGGAATCACTTAAATCAGAGTATTATTAATAGGGTTCTTACCTTGTATCCACCAATACGATGTTCTTGCTTGAATTCTTTTCCATTTTTTAACCACCTCATGGTTGGTAGGGGGTTTCCGGTAGCTGGACAACGGAACTTCACGGTGTTAGCTGCTGGGACTGCATGTAATCGCTTCTCCATCTTTTCAGTTTGTGTCCACTTAGGTGCTTCTGTTTCCAAGAAGGAACACAAATGGGGAGGAAAAATCTATAAACTGCAATGGACTCAGATTCCAACACAATGCCTTGTTATTAGTATGGATTTTCAATGAAACACAACATGCTTTACAGGAGTGTTGGTGTTATACACTGTTGATTCATGTTGCCTTTGGCAAAATATACAAGACTTTGGAGTATTTTAGAAATTTCACTGTGTACCTAGAGACAAAAAACTGCCATGTGTCAATTAGAACTGCTTGCAATGAGTGCCTTAAGACAATTTATGCAAAGTTGATCCAAGAAAGCAACTGGATTGTGTTTTGGTTTTATAATTATCATCTTGCCTCAGCCCACAGGCTTTAGGTAAATAAAAGTCAGTTTAAAACTTGTAAACACGGTAATTAAACCATATTTAAAACTGCTTGTGTATGGAGAGTGAGAATTAACAAAATTTCATTTAAAATACTGGACTTAATTGTTCCTTGATCTGGACACCAACAATAAGAATGTGCTTCCAAATAGCATGCCATGTCTCACGCAGTACTGAAAGAAACCACTGGAATTCTGTCACATAAGGATGTGCAGTTTTTCCAACCCTATCCAATCTAAGCCAATATTTTAGTTCTGCAAAGTTTATTAGCTGGAGTGGCACAGAGAAACAGCTTCCCTCATAATTCATGTTAAAACAGTTCAATGTAATCCCAGAGGGGAAAGCTAGTCACCTGAAAAAGATACTCAAGAGCAATTTCCTTATGTTCTCCCCCCACCCCCAACCTAAAGCACCACTAGTGCAACCAAAAAAACCCTGATGTAATTTCTTTCCAGACAGCTTATCAGCCTAGACTATCTGGGTAAGACAGGGACTTAAGACAGAAATGTCATATGCAGGGCAAAGAAGAACATGCCACTGATTATTCTGGTGCTGTAATAATGGGATATAGAAAGGCAAAGTGACTGTGAAAATATAGGTAAGATGGTGAAAAAACAGCAAAAGTATAGCGTATCTGAAGACTGCCAGCCTCCACATATGCCTATCCATACACTAAGGTCATCAACACAGGCCTTTTTCAGGTGCCTTCCATTTTCAGTGAGAACTCCTAGGGACTACTCCCTTTTTGCTGGTGGTCCCCAGCTACTAGAATAGAAATTCACATGGCACCTACTCTGATGTCATTTTGGCACCAGATGAAGCCCTTTATTGTTTTCCCAGGGATTTTTTTTTCTGCTTGATTTAATACCTGCCGATAGTTTTATGCTGCTGTTTTAGATTCACTGTTTTAGTGTGTTGTTTGTATGTCTTCATTGCTTTGACTGTATTTTATTATTTTTAAGCCACCCTGAAAACACGACTGAAGGGAATGAAGTAGCTGGACAGGAAAAGTTTTCTTTCCATTCAAAGTAACATTTCTCCAACACAGTCTCAAAAATAAGATAATTGTATTATTTACTCTTCCTGCCTTCACACAACAGTCTTCGGGAACTTAGGTAAACACTACATGCATCCAAAGGACACATTGATGCCTGGTAAAACAGCTCTACTTTAACCATATGGGATATAACCTTGGTCAAAGTTTACTTCTATCCTTGCTTGCCCCACAAATTATGAGAAAGTTACACATGAATTCCAATAACCCCTGGGAAAGTAACAGTGGTGCAGTTTGCATCTAACAATAGTCCACAGAATGTTTAAACCATGGGTTGTTCGAACCATGTAGAATGAGTGAACATCTTGCCTTTACATTCTCACCATTTTTACTTTTTATCTACTTTTATCAACAACCCAGGAATGCCTCATTTCTAGGTATTTTGATGCAAAATACAAACCTGGAACTTCAGGAACAAAGGACACAGAGTCAGAAACTTTGGCTTGTTGTTGAGTTAAAACTTGGCATGTTTGTATGTCAAATTGGGGTTCCATTTAAACCAGGTCAGTATGTGGCATGCAGAAGGATGTGCTTATCTTGGTAGTGAGCATTTAACCCCACAGCAAGTGACCAATTTTGCCCCATGTTTACTGACTTTACATTTCTTGAATTATCAGCCTAGCCACCATGGCACTGAGACAAACCAAAAATGTTCTTGTAATTGGTGAAAGACAACAACTAGCTAAGAACCTGCAAAACTGTTGCTACTGTGAAAGCTGGCCCAAAAAAGTTAGTGGTGTTTGAGTTTCATTTTGACATCTGAGATTTCAGAGTAGTCACATAATTCAAAATGCCTTCAGTCCAAGATACTTGAAGTATCAATTGCTCCTGGACCGACATGCCTACTGTCCTAAGATCAAAAGAAGCAGGCTTCCTCTGTGTCCCTGTATGTGGAAGCCTGGTTGATGGTCCCAAATAACAGGCTTTTCAGCAGTAAGCAGTGTTGAATCTTTTGACAACGTTAGGGAATGTCAAGACTTCAGGGATGGACTATGTGACTTGACAACTGTAAGTATAAGAGTATATCAGAATATTATTTTAGAAAAAATCAAGACTGTTGCTAAAGCAGTGGCAACAAAATTCAGAGCCAAAGAGTCGTTTTGTCTCTATCAGTATTACTACTAATCAACAATGGAGAGATTTTCAATATCTATGGCTGCTGCTACTACAGCAGTATAAGCCCTTTCTTTGGAGATAATGTAAGTATAATCAACTGCATAATAATAAAGGCCATGTTTAATTCCATTCATTCTTCTAACTATGCAGAAATTAAGGAGTAAAATCTGTTTTTAACAGCGGGGATGTTTAATTATTTTACATAGATCCTTCCTGAAATACAGCAATTTACTATGGAAATGTTTTAGGACCAGAAGGGTTCAAAAACATAAATGTTCCTTTTTCAGTCCTAGTTCATTTCCTTTATTAGCAGCCTACTGCTCCATAACAAACAAACCTTTCCGTTTGTCAAACATTTATGGCTGTTCTTGAAATCAGAATTCCAGCACCCCACTTCCCCCTACAAAGCAAAATAAAAATACACCTGGAAAAGAGCACAGCAGCAGACTCCTTAGCAGCCCTCCACACCCAAAGAAAACATCCCAAATTTAGGCATGAAAAATTATTTTTAAAATTATACATGACTATTTTTGTTTCTGCCTGAACCCTTTGAAGTTAATTAACTAGAAAATAAATCAATGAATATTTAAACATGTAGTTCCAAGGCAAGGCATGTTATAAATATTTAAAATTAAACTGTGCAGCCATAAAATACTTCATTATTTCAAAAGGTCCAGGGGAGAAGGCACCATTAAAATGATTTCTTAGGAACAAAAGTGCAACAACACTATAGATAAATCTAAAACAACTAAGTAAAGCTATTAAGTCAATTACAAAAACGAAAGGGTTCATCTAACAAGAATGTTATTAAGTCCCATTACATAGTGGGTACATTTTTTTGCTCTAGCACTAGCATGTTCCAAAAAGCAATTCAAACAAATAATTCTGCTGGAATAAATCCCAGATTCCTGATGAAGTTAATCCGAATTGTACACGAATAGGATTGGTATTAGTTAAAATGCAGGGGTCTTTGTTGCCTCTTATAACCACAGGAGCCCAATGACAAGGATTTTGTTTTGTGAGTGGCAATATAAGTGATATACATTTTGGCAAGAGCAAAAATGGGATTCTTGTTACCTACTTTCTAGTTCCTTGGCTTTTCCAATATATTGCCATCACACTCCTAGACTTTCCTAACAACTATAAAGATATCTGAAGGCCAGTGCACTATCACTTGCCAATGGATTGAGAAGTGTCTTAGCTGTAAAGCTATTGACATTATCAGTACTGATTTGTTAGTATTAATATTATTGATTATCTATAGTCTCTCAGGTATCAAAGACCATGGAAAGGCCAAGTATTCATGTAAACCCTCTTTCTGCAATTACTGGCCCAATGTTGTTTTCATGGCTTGTGCTGGATGTTTTCTTTTCATACTACTGCCATTTATTTTGTAATTGTTGGTTAATTTGGAGTTTTACCTTTCAGAAAACGGGTAGTGAGTATTTAATTCAACAAATGAGAGTCAGTCTGGTGAAGAGATTTGCCTACTGGAGAGATGTAGTTTCAAAGTCCCACACAGCTCTGTAGCTGATGGGTGACCCTACACCAGACTCCTAACTGGGTTGCTGTGAGAGTCAAGAAGAGCATGCATGCTGCCCTGCACTCCTTGAGGAGTATCAGAATACTGATGGAGAAACAGCCATAAATAAATCTGGACTAGGGTCCTGGGGCGACAGTCCTACCGCATATTTCCTGGGGATCAGATTTGTGGATTGTGTCTCAACGTTTTTAATTCTTCTCAAAAAAAATATTGAAGTCGTTTGATTTATTCAATAACTTTCAGAATTCAAGGCAATATATTAAGCAATTTTGGGGAAAAAATTAAACAGTTTAATCAGTTTGACTTGGCCCTAAATTGAAACATGGTCAATACAACATAATATAAAAACCCACTTATTGCCATGGCTGCAGATGGTATGTATGTAATTTGAACTGAAAGCTAGGCTAGGTCCATGGAAGAAGCAGAGCTCAGACCTCTCCACTGCCCATCCATTGGTCTCAGGTTCAAGCATGAAGGGTAAATTTTCCACCTGATAGTCTGAGGATGGGCAAGGCTTGGCTTCTGGCTGTAGGACTACAGCCAAAGTCTTTAACACATATAAGCTGGCCTTCAAAATCAAATTTGAGGTAGATACAAAAGAACATCCGCTATTTCCACTGAGCTCATTTTATGGCCAGAGAGCTTTATTTCCTGCACTACTGTTACCCCTGCATTTCAACAATAGATGGAAGTAATAAAAACCACATTCAGATACTGCCTGAATTCCTATTGTTTTCTCACGGGTAGAAAATGTGCCCGTAGAGAAGGTACAAACTGATATACACAGTGTATGTTTTAAAAGTTTATATATATACAAAGATAGAAACTGATATCTGTATTTGTCACCATAAAGTTGCAGTAAAAACTAAATATATTGCGAAATGGCATTGATGGCACACCCTCACAAAATGCTAAATGGAAACATGTATGTATAAATGCTTGTATGAAGATTCTTCTTGTATTTGCATATGTATACATGATATGCATACTGCCTTATTTTTAAGACAACATGACAGTTGCTGCATTATTTTGAAATGCTATGCCTTGGTTTCAAGTTATGGGGAGTCTCCGTGAATCTGAGCAAACCCATCAGCTTATGTGCTCCTCTCTCCTCTCCTCTCTCCACCTTATGCACAGCTGGGATGAAGCCTCAACCAGAATTCACTTTCAGTTCTATGATTCCTGCCTGGTCATCATGTAGGAAACTGGAATTGGGTAATTTAAAACAAACAATCGAAAGTAAAACAAAGGAGCAAACAAAGCAAGGTATGTGTTTTAATTGTTTAGCAATTGTCTTGAATTTGTATTAAACAATGATTCATTGCTCATGAATGGTTCATACGTTACAAGAAGCCAGGAATCTTAGACATAGATTCTGAATCCTGGATAAGTCCTTTTCCTGACTCCAGAGGAGGAGGGGAAGGGAGGTGGAGGATGCAGGATCAGTGTTTTGCTTGTCCACATTGCACTACATTCTTCCTTAACATAATCTAAAACTGGTCCACCTACAAATCACAAAAGTTGCTATTCACTGTGTAAAGCAGGGTGAAATAAATAGATTACTGACAGAGATATTTGTAAGCAGGCTAACATTAGCAGCAAATATTCTCATTCCTTTCAGAATACAGATTATTATTCCATGCAGGGACATGAAAGTTTCTAAACATTCAGACCAGAGCCTCTTTTGCACACCTGAATGCAATAGATATTTGTTTCCAGTTCAAGATTTCTACACACTCTCGTGATAGCCAAAGGGTTTTTTGACATGCGCTGATCGACCTTTCCCTCCACCCCCATCACCCAGCATCCACAGCCCATTTTGACAAAACTGACAGGATCACGGAGGGAGAAATCTGCCACAGCAACTTAATTCCCCCATCATGCAAGCAACTTGTGTGCAAAATTACCTTCCTCAGTGCAATGTGCTGTATCATGTGAGTACAAGGAAGAATACTTTGTTCCCATGGCAACAAGCCACCCAGAACCCATGGGCTGTTTCAGCCTGCACATGCGAACGGACTCTTCACCTCTAACTCCAGCAAACATCTCTGAAGATGGCACTTTAACATCATGAGAGAACATCTGCTTTACTCCCTCTCTGAGGTCAAGATCACAACTTTAAAGGTGTACCCAACACACTTCTTCACATAATGGCTGCAAGTGGGGAAGGGGGATGGGGTGGGGTGCAGATTCCCTGCTCTGAGGTTGTTGTTGTTGTTGGGTTTTTTTGTTTTGTTTTGTTTTTTTGGGCAAATCCATATTGTCCTATGCTCATGCCTCCCATGCTCCCAAAAATATCTAGGAGTCATAGGATCACTCCCTAAATTGATAGAATTCTGGTCTGGACTGCTGATGAAGGATGCATTTTTGGAATCTGTCAATATAAACAAGCAACCCCTGAAAGTTGAAAAACTGGCAAACCAGCTAGAGCAGTGATGGCGAGCTTTTTAGAGACCAAGTGACCAAACTGCAACCCATAACCCAGTTATGTATCGCAAAGTGCCAACACTGCAATAAAACCTCAAAACTGAAGTTTTAGTTTAGAAAAAACAACCCATACATAAGAAAACTCAAAGCTAAAATCTTGTGTTAATGAAAATGAATGTATTAAAACTCACAGCCAGTCCAAGCATACGTACGTACATACATACATACATACATATATCTCCTTGGCAGCACACTGACTTGCCATGAGAAAGTTCGGACGAGTCGCAGCTAATGAGTCGTGGCTCATGACATCATTGCCTGGTGCCACTACTCCTTTCCGAGCATGCAGATGACTCCTGTGTGCGCTGTTATCCAATGATCGGCTCGGCTGCTGGGGCGATGCTGGGGCGACTTGGCTCGTGTGCTGACAGAGAGGGCTCTGTGTGCCCGCTGCAGCACGTGTGCCATAGGTTTGCCACCACTGAACTAGAGTATAACTTTTTCTCTAAAAGCTGACTACATGCAGAGAGTATTTTACATAGGGAACCATTCAAAATATGCTGGTATCTATACTAATCTGTGGCTCTCTACCTGTCTTGTAAATTCACACTCCATCCTCAGAATTCTTGTCACCTCATTCTGCTTCCTGTGTACACCTGGCTTCAAAGGATGGGCCTGAAATATTTGATAGACCTGACATGGACACATGAACTGAATTGTTAAAGGTCAACTTCAGTTTCCAGTGATTCTGCTTTACTGTTGTGCTGGATGAACATCATGTGAGAATCTGCCTAAACTGCTAACTAGGCATAGCATATTATAGACTTTGGGGCTTGCCTATATGATTATTATGGAAGACAGACCTTGTATCAGCTCATTCCCTCTTAACAGGTTCAGTACTAGATTAATTTAATTCCACTTCATAACTATCACTTACATATAGTCATTACAGGAGATTACTAATCAGATCCAGAAATTAAAGGAGAGATATCTGTACAAAGTAAAGTGGGTTAAACTTTTAATTAAAAGAGAAGTGCTACGAAATTAATGGCAGGTAAGAGCGAATAAACAGGCAAGAGTAGGATAGCAGTTTATTTCAATATATCAAACCCTAGAAATATATAAAAACAGGAGGGAAGTAAGCCTATGGAAAGTTGCTGCTAACAGATGCTCCATGCATTTAATAGCAAAGGAATGAAGTGCTTGAAGGAAGTGCAAAACTATGAGCTGCGGGGACAATGCTATATGGATTGTGCTGGATACCTTCAGCATTCAGAGTTACTTACTGGTTTGGTTGTTGTCATTCACAAAATCCTCAGAGCCATCGTTGTCATCTTCATCATCTCCAGATGAAAGAACATCTGAAGTTTAAAAATTTGCAAAATTGTTCACCTGCTACAGATTGTAAGTAAACATACCTATTTCTGTGGTCTGGATTTTTAGAAAGTACATCTGGAATAGTTTTTCTTTAAGAGTACCAGTGCATACACTTTATGGATGAATGTGCTCCTACTATGTCTTCAATTGTGGGGGGGGGGGGCAGGGATAGGGGGAGACCCAGGCTGCAATCCAACAAAGATACATGTTTGCACGGAGAAGAATGATATGCACAGCCAGAGGCGTCTTTGAAGTTTCTAAAGCTTAGGAACCACCAGCTGCATTTTCTGTTCTCCCCTGCATGAGTATGTTTCTTGGATCATGGCCATGGAAGTCTCAAAACAAAGTTTCTATTAAAACAAAACAAAACTTTTTTTCTTTCTCACAAAACTAAACACATAAGTTTCTTTAACTGTCATTCAAACAAACTGGTAATTTAATATGTGTGTGTGTGAGAGGGAGAGAATGAGAATAATTTGGTTATATAAGTTCAAAATGAATGTGCATCTGATCAAGCTAGATTTGAACAAGTTCACAAAACTGGTGCTATTTTATATACCGCAAATGGATTTATCATCTCTTAGGTGCACAATCTTATAGAGTATGCCTTTGATGTTCATAAGTCCTTTTTGTGCCTGTGCCCAGCATACATTTAAAATATGCTCACAGAAATTCTCATTCACTTGGACCATTTTCTCATATTTCTGAAGCTAGATAAACTTTTCATTGAATTTGGTTTGTTGATAACCTAAACAGTGGTGTGAGAAATGTAATCTCGAAAGTCTGCGGTTTTCTTAAATTTACATTGAAATTTAACCTAAAGAAATATATTTTTTTCTTATTTACAGAAAGATTTTATATAGTGCACCCCTTAATTAAACTGATGGCTTATGAGGTTTAAAACAGTGACAAATACAAGTATTTATCACGAAAAATCCAGCCAAGGGAAGAGTAATCAGCAGTGCTAGTTAGAAGTGTATAAAATGTACTTTAAAAGGATGAGTGAATGAAACACGTGTTGGGAGTCTAAGAGAAAACAATACTAGGAAAAGATGGATCTCCCAAGAGAAGTTATTGTATAGTCAAATGTGGCCTGAAATTGTCCTATCTTGAGTCAACAGACACTTCCCTTTGAACAAGGAAGGCACACGGAAAAGGACATCAGCAGATGATTTAAGAACAAAATAAAGATTATTTACTTATTTATTTAGAAGGCTTCTATGCCGCCCCATTCGCCGAAGCCTCGGGGCAGCTCACAATAATAAATAAATAAGAACAGTATAAAACAATATAATATGAGTCGACCTGGCCCGAAAAATAAAATAAATAAATAATATTAACAATTAAAATAGCATTGGAATAAAAAGGTCTTCACCTGGTGCCGAAAAATAAATAACGACGGCGCCAGGCAGACCTCTCTGGGGAGCGCATTTCATAGATTGGGCGCCACCACAGAGAAAGCCCTCCTCCGAGTACTTACCAGGACCCAAGCCGTTAAGGGCTTTATAGGTCATAACCAACACCTTGAATTGGGCCCAGACTTCAATGGGGAGCCAGTGAAGCTGACGGAGAACTGGAGTCATGTGAACATAATGCCCAGTCCCCGTCAGCAGCCTGGCAGCTCTATTTTGAACCAATTGAAGTATCCGGATCGTCTTCAAGGGCAGCCCCACGTAGAGTGCGTTACAGAAGTCAAGTCGGGAAGTCACCAACGCGTGTGATACCGTCACAAGGCAGTCGTACTCCAGGTAGGGACGCAGCTGATGGACTAGCCAAAGCTGAAAGAAAGCGCTCCTCGCCACCGCTGTCACCTGAGCTTCCAGTGAAAGCTCTGGGTCGAGGAGCACTCCCAAGCTGCGGACCTTGTCCCTAAGAGGGAGTGCAACCCCATTCAGGTCAAAGTCCCCTTCCCCGAAGCCCGATCCGCCAACCAACAGGACCTCCATCTTGTCTGGACTGAGCTTCAGTTTATTGGCCCTCATCCAGCCCATTACCTCGGCCAGGCACCAGTTCAGCACAGCCACTGCCTCACCTGGATTGGTGGAAAACGAGAGGTAGAGCTGGGTATCATCAGCGTACTGATGATTCCGCAGCCCACACCTCCTGACGACCTCTCCCAGCGGTTTCATGTAGATGTTAAATAGCATGGGGTACAAAATAGAACCCTGCGGAACTCCATGACATAGCTGTCATGGCGCAGAGCCATAGTCCCCCGGCATCACCTTCTGGAATCGGCCATTGAGATAGGAGTGGAACCACTGCAAAGCAGTGCCTCCGACCCCCAATCCCGCTAGCCTATCCAGAAGGATACCATGGTTGATGGTATCGAAAGCCGCTGAGAGGTCCAGGAGAACCAACAGGGACGCACTCCCCCGTCTTTCTCCCTGCACAGGTCATCATACAGTGCGACCAAGGCAGATTCAGTACTGTACCCGGGTCTGAAGCCGGACTGAAATGGGTCCAGATAATCAGTTTCCTCCAAGAGTGCTTGGAGTTGTCCCGCCACCACCCGCTCCAACACCTTGCCCAGAAACGGGATGTTGGCCACTGGTCTATAATTGGTGGCCATCTCTGGATCCAGTGACGCCTTCTTCAGGACCGGTCGGACTACCACCTCCTTTAAAGGGGCAGGTACCCGGCCCTCCCTCAGAGAGGTGTTAACCACTTCCAAGATCCAGATCCCTATCCCGTGCTTGGCGTTGTTAATTAGCCAAGATGAGCAAGGGTCCAATAGGCAGGTGGTGGGACGTACTCGTCCAAGCACCTTGTCCACATCATCAGGCCGCAGTAACTGAAATTCATCCATCAATTTTGGTCCAGATGGCGACATTGGTATCTCCCCAGAAGCCTCTGAATCACTAGTGGAGTCCAGCTCGTGACGAATCTGAGCGATTTTCTCCCTGAAATGCTTGGCAGTCGTCACAGCGGGCCTTTGAGGGTGAAACCAGATCTTTCTTAGGGCCGGGATGAATCAGCCCTTGTACCACCCGAAACAGCTCCGCCGGATGGCATTGTGAGGAGACAATGGAAACGGAGAAGAATTTCTTTTTCGCCGCCCTCACCGCCACAGCATAGGCCCAATAATGGGTTCTTAAGTGTGTTCGGTCAGATTCACCCCGTGATTTCCTCCACCTACGCTCTAGACGTCTCCCAGCCCGCTTCATCGCCCGCAATTCAGGTGTATACCAAGGGGAAGAGTGGGCTCTGCCCGGCGGGAGAGGACGCTTAGGAGCAATCATGTCAATAGCCCTGGTCATTTCCCCATTCCATAGTTCGACCAGAGCCTCGACAGGAGCACCAGTCTTGTCCGCCGGAAACTCCCCCAGGGCCTTCAGGAATCCATCCAGATCCATCCGGCTCCAGGGGCAGACCCACACAATCGGGTCCGCACCCTTACAGAGGGAAAGGCTGCTCTCGAGCACAAACCTCATGAGGAAGTGATCTGACCATGACAGGGGTGTCAGACATAAATTCCTCATCCTCAGACCACCCTCTTCCTGCCCCGTCGAGAAAACCAGGTCCAGAGTATGTCCACATTCATGGGTCAGGCCTGTGACATGTTGAGACAGCCCCATGGCCATCATGGAGGCCATGAAGTCCTGAGCCGCCCTGGTCAGACCAGTCTCGGCATGGAGATTGAAGTCCCCCAGGACCAACATCCTGGGGGTCCTCAACACCAGGTCCCAGATGATCTCCGTCAGCTCAGGCAGGGAGACTGTTCGGCAGAAGAGTGCACAGTACACCAACAGAATCCCCAGTCTGTCTCGGTCACCCAACACCAAGTAGAGGCCCTCTAGCCCCGGCCTCGAAGGGACTGGAAGCCCCGCGAGGGAGATGGAGGCTCGGTAAACCAAAGCGACCCCCCCTCCCCTCTAGGCGTGGACGGTGCTGAACCTGAGACCAGATTACTATATATGACTAGAATTGTACTCTTTTATGCTTGAATAGGACATGGCTTTACATTCATGAACAATTAATTTAGGCTAGAATTGTGTGCACACAGTAAAAGCTACATTTTAACAAACTCACCTGTAATATTTACAATGAAGTAGAGGGGTTCACTGCCTAGAGTCCTAACAGTGCAAGCATAAAAGCCTGAATCTCCTGGTGTAGTATCTTTAACCTGTAAGTATTCCCCAGTAATATTGGTTCGATTGTTGGATACCAAATGGACCCCATCTTTAGTCCAAGTGATCATGCTGATGTCCTTCAGTTGACAGCGCAACGTCAGTTTATCTCCTGGAAGTGCAGAGACTACATCAGGCTGAGAGATCTGATATTTGACTGGTGACTCTGCAAAAAGTGGAAGAGAGATGGACAGAAAAGGGAGATGAAGAGATAAAGGTGGGGAAACAAATATTTCCAACACTGTCAATAAAGGCACTTTTATCCATTAAAAATATACGTTAAAAAGCAAAGCAAAAATCAAATAGTCATAACTACCAGCCACTTCCATAAAATTGGAAAAGGCAAGCAACACTGATTAAACAGATTTTATCCATGAGTGTTGCTGTTTTGTTTGATTGCAGAACCTGGATAAAAAGTAGATAAGATAAGAAAGGCAGGCATTTTTCAGCCTTTGATATGGGATCTGCTGTGCCTAGAAGGGGAAAAAGTATATAGACTGAGTGTTGCACTGGGACTTGAATGATCAGCCTGTTCAGCTGTGAAGCTTGCTGGGCAACTTTGGGCCGGTCACTTTGCATGCAGATGAACCCAAGTTCAATCCTTGCACCCACAAGTTAGGCTAGGAAAGAATCTTGCCTGAATCTCTGACAGTTGCTGCCAGTCAGTGTCAATGATACTGGGTTGGATGGGCAGTTTCCTATGTTAGAGTAGAAATAGCTACCCATTGTGGACTTATGCCCTAAAACTCAGGAAAAGCAATGAGGTTAGTGATGGAAGGGGGCATCCCAACTCTCCATTATCACATGGATAGTCTGAATCCCTGAATATAGCTTATCACTTCACACAAGATTGATGGCAGTTGCCAATAGAAACAAAAAGTTTAAAATGTCTGAAGATGTAAAGATGAACACAAATATGGAAAGGTTAAGTGTACATTCCTTTCTTCGTGTTTAGACAGAGGAAAGACCTACAACTTTTTGTAGGGGGTTGTAATCCTTTTTCTGTCCAAACATGCACAAAATTGTGCCCTGGATGTCTAATTCCATGGGGACATGGGCTCTTCCAGTCCTTTGACCTCCATAAATTAACACTGCACAAACATTGTTTTCTTTGCCATAGTAAAAATTTTACTCTCATAGCCTTTTCTGTGATTTGCACCATCAAGGAAATGTAATTCTTCATTTTCCCACAATATGATCTTGACTGCTATTCCTAAGAACTCAAAGAGACGTCTAAATAATGTTTTTATATGAATATTAACACTTTCCATATTTGGTTTTTTTAAACTGGGCCTTAGAACTTTCAACAGCTTAAAATGCTTTGGCAAGAAAGTTTTCTATGAACACTAATGCAGTTTTACACTTTTCTTTTTTACAAACTTACTGGGGTAATTATGGATTCCATCAATCTATTATACAGGTGTTATATTTTGTACCAATAGAAGGCTATTGCGGGGAAAGAAAGCATTCGCCAGATGGAGAATGGGCTGTTTTCTACATATAGATTTTATATTAGCAAAAGGTTAAATCCAAGAAATGTATCACCAATGAGTTATTTTAGTTTGCTGACACTTCAGCACAAGCAAAACTGGTTTAGTTTATACAACAGTTGACATTATTCTCTGTAACCTCTTCATTTCACTCTACCTGGTATACCAAATTTGTTTTACTGAGACTAGTTGAGGCCAAAAATTTACGACTGTCTTTAAAACTGAATTGTTTTCTTCCAAAGGCCAAATGCATGTAGATCACTACAAGTCATCCTTCTTGCAGAGCACATAAATCCCCAATGAGAAGGCTTACTAATAAATTTTAAAAATACCCTGTGTAACATAACAACAACTGGACAGTTCCAATGGGCACATTCCCAGCTTAATAAACCATGGTTGGTTCAGCTAGGAATAGTAAGACCTACCTTCTCTCTTTCTCCAATTTCTTTTAACCATAATACCCTGTATTATGGTTAATTTAACCATAATACCTGAAATAGCAAACTGAGATTTAATGCTAGTTTACTAACTAGGTCAAACCATGGTTTAAGATTCTGGTTAGTAAAGTATTAAATCACTGTTCCCCATTTTAGACCTAGAGAAGACTACAGCTTTAAAAGATGGGCACTGCAGAACAAAACAAAGCAAGTGTGTGAAAAGGGGAAGAAGGGGAGAAGGAGGCTCAAGCTCAGTGCTTATTCCCACTTTCCTGGATAGGTTGCCGCCATTTATTATTCTGACAGCACTTTATGCCAAGACAAGCTGTTGTGTTGTATTACATTTTGTTTTGTCTGTAAATGTCCACTGGATTCTTCAAAAAGAAGTCAAGGGTCAAATTTAAACAGAGTTCAGAAATAAATGGCTAAAGAACCTAAATAGACAAGAAGAGGTCCTCTGAGATTTATATAGTGCAGATTAATCCACACTTTAATACACAAGTGGAACCTGAGGCAGAACAAGAACAGCTCCATTCAGCACCTCATGGCCACCAAGTGTGCTCACTCCTCTTTGACCAACTGTCCTCTCACTAAGTTCCTCCCCCCTCCCCCTGCAAAGATTATTTCTATATCTGCAAGCCTTTGGGCTCTCCCAAGCCAACTGATGCCTCCCTCTTGTGTGTAGATGGTACTATTCAATATAAGTTGTGACACTAATAGCTCAAAAATAGAGGGAACAACTTTCTTGTGGAGAACATCGTGATAAAGATTAAATGTCAAGAAGAGAAAAGACATAAATAACTGATGTTGGGAAATATAGAAATATTTCAGGTAAATCAGTGTTTTTCTGAGTTCAAATCTAGAGATACTTAAAGAGTGTCACTTTTTATAATACTTGCCTATAAACATTCTCCCAGCGTTTTTTGATGGTGTGCCGAAAAGCAAAAGGAGAACAGGTAAGATACTGCAGCATTATTCTGTCCAATTCTTTCATGTGAAAAGTCCTACAGGTTTTAGTGCTTAGGAGTCCCAGCCAACATGGAAATGAAATGGCTCTGCAGAATCAACCCATTGCCCTGGGCCAAGCCAGTAAATATGTTTTATGCTTACATGAGATTTAGCACCAAAAAGGTAAAGGAAAAGGCCAGCTCCTGCATTTGTGTTCACAGTCATTGTTCCCATTGATTGTGGGTTGGAGAAAGTAAGTTCTGTGCTTCAGTGGAACCTCCATGCCCAAGCTTACATGATGAGGGTGTTTCAGTACACAGGATTCCCCACAAGTCATATTGTGTAGTCCTGGGGAAGCAGCATGGTGCCTGCTTCCCCAGGACTACTTCCCATGTACAAAGTTTAACAGTAAAGCAAGCAAGACACCTTGGTCCTCAGTGCCAGGCAAAGAACCAAGCCCTTTCTTCCATAAGCTGCCACTTGTAGGTTGACCAGCCAACCTTGCCACATCATTCAAGCTGGTTGAAGTTATGACAAAGAAACAAGGTGAAAATACAAGCAAACCACCTGTTCCTCTTTGCTCTGCATTTCTACTACTTGGTCAACTGTAACATCCAGCCAAGTGGCATGAAGAATACTAGCACTCACTTAAACCTCCAGATTTTTGATCAGATACAGATATGTGGTAAAGTTTTCCTCACCATTTGACAAGCCATTCAAGATAGCTAGCTTACTAAGTCCTTATGTGCACACTGTGCTAAGTTGCCACTTGCTAAATGGCAGCTGGATTCACTCCCAGATCTCACATTTCAAGACAGGATTTCAAAACAGAAGTGCAACTCATTTTTGCTCTTCCATCTCTTGGACACATATGAACTGCCTCAACCATAAGAGGGATTTGTGACCAGCACAGCCCTTCACTTTGAGCTGTAGCTGAGTGACAAGTACAACAACACACATAACTCTGGATGCATATAAAAGGAATACAATATGCCAATGCATATTTTGTACATGCCACTAGCTTTTCTATTAGTGTAATGGTGCCTTCTTTTTCTATCTGCAGTTTTTTCCCCTTTACTCAGGGCTAAAACATCTATTACTCAGGGGACAAATCACTGGAGTTGTAGGCTTAAGTACTGAGGGAGGCAACAGTTTCCTGCTTTGTTCTAGTATCTGGGGGGAAATGAAAGTTGTACACCTTTCTGTACAAGAATTCCCTAAAACAGCTGCTGCTGCTGCTGCTGCTGCTGCTGTACATACATCCTGAGGGCAGTTGAGTGACTATTCTGTAAACAGAATGCTGGACTCAATGGACCCTTGTTCTAACTCTGCATGGCTTGTCTTATGACCTTAAACTGGGAAATGCAAAACCTGGCTTTCCTGCGACAGAGCAGGTTAAACCATGGTGAAGTCAAAAAGTAAGAACATGATCACAGGGAAGACCCATGTAAGCTGTCAATCCATTTCTCTGCCAGCCTACAGCTCATTCTGTTAACTAGGCTTAGAGTCCATTCCAGCTTCTATTCTAGCAGTTCTCTTGCTGCTTCCATACCGTTACCTGTCCTATCAGCAGGTGACATGATGGTATAAGATGGAATCCAGTCAAGAGGAAAGGAACCAGAACATACAGGTAGGAATGAGCCAGATCATTGCAAGACAAGCTAAAGTAGTCTTTCCCAAATCAGTGCCCACCAGGTGATTTGGACCATATACCCTCACTCCAGACACCATGGCCAATATTCTCAGGGAGAATGTGAACTACAGACAAAACATTTGGACAGTGACAGGCTGGAGAAGGCTGAACTGGATTGTGGGAAACAGGAGCCCAGAACAGATGGGAAATGTGTGGCCCCTCCAGATACTTTTGGATTACCATTATAATCAGTTCAAACCAGTAACATTGATGACAAGGCATCATGGAAGTAGTGACCTAAAACATCTGGAAAGCAAAACATTCCATATCTCTGACCTAGCTTTCCCCATGCAAACATAAATACACATGTGTATTGTATTGATGGATTCTACCAGCTTAAATTGAATCACAAAAGAGCCATCAGATCTCCCTTTTTTACACTAATACTATGTATACCAATCCACTAAAATAGTTTCAGTATAAATAAAGAATGATACAAGCATCAAAACCACATGGTCCATATGTAGGACTTTCTGTGCAACTATCAACTTTTCCAGCTGTGCTGAGGAATATTCAGTAAACCCATCATAAACATCCTCTTGGACGATAAAAGTTCTTTTCTGCCAAGGCTACAAGAGGCAGTGAGGCTTCCCCCACC